CCCGCCTGTTGTGTTTATTCGAGTTATTTATAAATTAGAATAGCAGGACTCATATAGCACAAGATTGTTTAATTACCTAAATAGTGCATACATATATAAAAAATACATCACAAGTCTACGTTTGAGAATACAGCATTTTGCTATTATCAGCTTTGACAGTTGCTAGGTACATATACTATTTCAAGTCAGGATGACTTGAATTTCCAGCTAAGTTTTGGCCTAAAAAATGCTCACATCTCAATATTGACCATATAATACAAATGTACAGCTCCAAGGAGTGCTGGTGGCTCATATGCCACTCTCCGCTGCGACAACCACAGAGGCTCAATCTGAGGCACGCTTGTTTCTCCCCATCAGATGCGCGAGCCGCCTCCAGTGAGATGGCGTGACAACTGCGTCGACGGCTTTGGCACCTGCTTGGCAGCACCACCTCGCACCAGATGCGACATCAGTAGCGCACAGGTGGTGTTCGACGGATTGCCAATGAGGCGATGAGGTAAACAGCCATGAATCGATGCTTATCTGGGCTGTGTTGGAGACCTTTTTTTTGCAGTACTGCTTCTAGCCGGTCCTCTTTGATATGCTTGTGCGTGTGTCATGAATTGTTAATTTGAAGATGTCTAAACCAAACTAATTAATCTCGCAAAGCAGAAACATAAGCTTTGAGGACGAGCAGTCTTTAAGTTATTGTTGACTTTTCATTCCTAATACATTGTTTTAGAATTAGAATGACATGGAAATATATATTTGCTTTATATGTTTTGTTACCAAGCCTAGCTGTTTGTGAAATTCTTTTGCATGCACATAGCCTCTTACCATTGCAATGAGAATCAGATTCAACTTTTCCATCTACTATACCTTGATGACTGCTTGTCTACAATTTGTGAAATTAAGATGAAATTCCTATTTGTTTAATATTATTTGTTTGCAGGCCCAGCTGCTGTAAAATTCTTTTATATGCACAAAGCGCAGATGTTCAGGAGATAGTCGTATATATGGTGTAGGAGCCACTACACGCAGTAGTTGTATTCCTTCAATTAGTGGGTACTTCCACCACGATCGTGCATTAGTAATTTCTTGTAGTACTGCATGTATATATAGCTTCAGTCAATGAGCACAATGTAGTACTATTAAGCAGTGCCATGTAGTAAATTGTATGGCTTCAGTCAAGGACCTATATCAGTAATTCAGTATGCTATGGAATGGATGCTTATGTTGCCTGCGACACAACCATGACACAAGCATTTATTAAAATGGCCCATCCACTGGACAGCGCGGCAACGCCGCGCCTCTTTCTAGTCAATAGTTAGGCCTGAGTGGTACAAGTTGTTATTCCTATTGGGCCTGACATTGTAGGTTTTGGTGTTAGTTTGCCTGCAGTTACTGTGGGCCAAACCCTATCTACCGTAACACCATCTAAGCTAGAGATGGTTTTTGTTTGCCTAGATGTACCTTGGTCGGCTTACCATGGTTTTTTTAGATGAAAGAAGAATTATATTATATAATAACTGGGTACATCAACACGTTACAAACACTCTAGAGTACACTACATATATCCAGAAACTAATATTTATCTAAATTGTACCCACGCTGTGAATAGATCCAAATCTCAAAACCAAACCTGTATGACGTTTCGTATGGATGACCGCACAGGCAAACACTCGGCAAAAGGCCTGAGAACATATGCCCAACGAACGACAGCCAACATTCCTGCAGACGGAGTTGAGAAACTTCTTCTTTCTTTTGTCTTCCTTCTTCTTCTTGCTGCCACCGAAGAATGCGGAAGATTGATCTGAAAATTTTTCTCTCTAGTCCTTCATCGTGGCCAGATCTAACCACGACGAAACGAAGAAGACACCGGAGAAAATTATTCCATGGCGGCGACATCATCTCCGCCTTGATGTTGCCGTCCGGAAAGAAAGGTCTCTATGTCGCCATGCCGGTGAAGTGCTAACGCCGTACTTGTCACCCTCATCTTCAACATAGCCGCCATGGAGAAAACGATTCCAACGTTCTCCTTCACCGTCGCCGGAGAGAAGGAGAAGGAGATAAATCCCCAATACCAAAAATATTTGGCATGGAGAGACCCTAACCCTAAGAACTTAATCTACTAAAAAACTTATTAAAAACGATGGATGCCCACTCCCTCCGGCCTCCGGCGAGATGCCGGAGGGAGAGGAAGGGGGACCGGCGGTGGTGGAAGGTGGGAGCTGCAGCGGCGGCGCTGCTGCTTAGGTCACGCAAGTCACGCGAGGACTAGCGGTCATATAACCGAGTGGCCACGGCTCACCATGGTTGTGTGTTAGGTGTAGTTGCAGCCCAAGATAGATAGAGAACCCCCTTTCCGTTACAAATGCATGCATGCATGCATGTAATATAGTAGTAATATAAGGGACATGTATATAGGAATTGAACCACTCTATGTGTACATGCATGCATAATGATAAGTCATTTTATGTTTTCTAGATACATACAAAAAGCACAGATATTTTGATATCTCGAGACACGTAATAAAGGTTGTGGATGTAGATGACCTATAAATTGAAACAAAGAAGGGATTTAAAAAATATATGGAATGGAAGAACTATCGTTATCACTGCACTGGCAGTGACGACCATGGACTGCAAATTCGTACGTATATGGAACTGCCGGTGTACACGTACGTGGATCGTGATGGGGGTGAGGGGCCCTCCGTCCCCGGCCGCGCAAGCCAACAAAACCCTAGGGTTCACGGGCTGCGCGTACCTACAAAATAAACGTCCGCCTGGCCTCGCCTTTCCACATGCTGGCGACGATTAGTCTTACAGGCAGGAGAGCTTGCTTGCTTTGTATCGCCATCCATCCGCTCCGCCCATCATTATCTCTGTCTATCTATACCAGGCCGTGGCCGGCCCGCAGTCGATTTCGATCGTCAACTTTCATGTATCATATCACTTTCTCTCCATCGCAAGCTGTCACTTGCTTTTTTCTTTCATGTAGAAACAAGAACGCGTACGTGTACCCTCCTCCTGCTGCAAGTCCCTACCTAGCTAGCTTTTGGCTACATCACATCGATATATTTATTATTCACTGCATATATATAGGCAAGTTTAATCGTTTGTATATATACTAAGATACTATATGGTTATATATTCCGCACCGATGCGAAGAAAGATCCTTTATTTAATTTAGTGGATGGAAAAGGAATATCCTTTAAAATATACTCCTACTCCGATCATCCATTTCAAAATGTCAAAATTACTGTTTCTAGTCATATTTTCTCTAACTTTAGTCATATTTATATATATATAAAATACCTTCACAGCTATATATAATATATCTAAAAATATATATAGTAACTCATGGTACTCCCTCTATTCCAAAATAAGTGTCGTTATCGCTTACCGGCGAGTCAATGTTTTTATCATTGATCAAATATATATACAAGAATATTTTAATATATATTTATAGTAAATAGTTAGTATCATTAGATAGATCATTTAATATATTTTCATCATAAACTTATTTGGAGAACCTAGCCAAACTTTAAAAGGTTTGACGGGTACTATATGGAGAACCTAGTCATTAGATACCATAGCAACACTTATTTAGAACTGAGGGAGTGCATTATTATTATATATATATAGGCTCAGATCTGACAAAATAACAGAAATTCGACTTATGACACGTACTTACTCATACATATACACATTTTGGAGCTGAGCAGTATCATGTTGCTAGATGGGAGAAGAGAATGCATGCATGCAAAAAATATCTATCTGCTACAAAGCTAGGGGCCACCTGCGTGCCCTGCATCTCAGCGCTCGGCACACCGCACATCGAGGTCCATGCATGCACGTGTCAGCATACATATACGCTGTCTCGGTCTCGCTCTCGGTGGCATGCATGATTTCTCTTCAAGTCTTCGTGCAAGGCCAAGGCCAAGCCGCAGCAGCTTGCATCTGTATGCAAGTGTATGCGTGCTGTGCTGATATATATATATGCATCGATCGATTGCAATATCGATCTACTATATTGCATGTGCAGTTGTTGTTACATACGTTGCATCGATCGACCAGGTTTTTTCTTATTCATTTACACAACCCTGCGTGCATGCATCATGCATGTCATTTGTGAACATAATGCTTGCACATATATGGATTGGTAAACAACTAGTATTGCATTTGTTAAGATTGATGAAATCATATAGGATTATGAGTTAATTATTTGTGCTGGGACAAAATATCTACTATCTGGTGCATAGTGCCTACGTACGACGAGGACGAATCTTGCTCATATATTCATCCATCGCAGGTAATTCAGGTATACATCAGGCCAACAACTACTAACATTCATCCATCAGATCACACAGATAATTACCACACTGTAATAATGGTATTTATATTCATAGATGGAGATCATCGTCGTCATGTCGGGTCCCGCCAGGCCTCTCGACACGATCGATCATGGATCCATCCAACACAAACACACGACGACGCGACGATGGACATGTTGCATATGCATGCATGCATGCATGATAGCAGATTCGTGAAGAAACACACCCAAAGCAAAAGCAAAACAAAACAAATTAAAGCGACGAACGAAGAACAGTGCTGTGTACTAGTAGCTTGAGAAATCATGATTATTTAGCCCGGCCTGGTGCAGGCGGGCGTGTGCATGCATGGATCGACGACGACGGAGGAATCCAAAGGAGACGACGATAGATGGAGAGAGGCATGCATGCTCCTCATGCATGCATGGCATGGCGACGATCGATCGATCAGATCAGGAGCACTGGAAGCCCGAGGGGACGCGCCTGCCGCAGTAGTTGACGAGGAGGCTGAGGTTGATGGGCAGGTTGAGGTTGATGCCCAGGATGTTGGCTCGCAGGGCGGTGCAGAGGCACACCGCCGCCTCCAGGTCCGCCAGCCCCTGGATCAGCGTGCAGCACGGCGTCCTGGGCGGCGTCCCCAGGTTGACGTTGATCAGCCCGTTGAGCACGTTGGCGCACACGCCCAGCTTCAGCGCGTCCACGGGGCAACGACCGCTCGTCCCGCCGCCGCCTCCTCCGCTGCCTCCTCCGCTGCCGCCCCCACCACTGCCACCTCCGCCGCTGCCCCCACCGCTGCCCTCCCTCCGCCGCTGCCCCCACCGCTGCCCCCACCGCTCCCTCCGCCGCCTCCGCTCCCACCACCACCAGATCCACCACCCCCGCCTCCACCACCACCTCCCCCGCCACCGCCGCCTGGACTAGGGCAGGAGCCGCATGCGTCGGCGAAACCGAACAAGAGGAGGTTCAGGGTCAGCAGCGTGGCCACCACGGCCACTTCCTTCGCCATGGCTAGCTAGCTAGCTACCACGTAGGAGTACTCCTACGCAGCTAGCACAGCAGTAGCTAGGTTGCTAGCGTATAGCTGCAGATCAGAGACTGCAGGTCGCTAGTGCTTTGGCTGCTGCCTGGAACTGGAACTGTGGCACTGCAACTTGTGATCGGATCGCAGCTTCGCAGCTTGCTGGGGGTGCTATTTATAGCCGGCCGAGAGCACAGCACAGGTCATAATAATAATAATAATAATAATAATAATAATAATAATAATAATAATAATAAGCCCTAGTAGTAATTAATAACTGATGATGATATACTACTGCATACTACCACTAATTATAGCTAGCTAGGCGACGACGTGCATGTGGGGGGTACAACAGATGAGATGAGCGAGATGTATCGACGAGCTGAGCTGCCTAGAATGAACTAGCTAGGAGTAGTACGTACGTATACATGCAGTAGCTGACTGTATAGTAGTACTACTGTATGTAGAATAGATGGGCATGCATGCATGCATTGTGCATCATGCTCATAGCTAGCTAGTCTGCTGAATGAATGATAGAAATTAAGCTAGGCGGTGAGTAGCCTACTAGCTAGCTACGACTTAGTGCGTGGTGTCGGCACGGCGTGACCTACAACATCCTAGAAAGGTGAAAAGCTAGCTGGCACGAGGAAGAAGACAATGGGGGTGGGCTTTGGAAGCTTTGCGTTTGTGTCCCGGCCGGGTGTGTCACGGTATAGTGCTTTGGAAAGACGGGCGTACTGCATGCTAATTTGCAGTTGCCATGGCGACAAGCAAGCTTGTAGTAGTGGTACTGTAAAGCATATATGCAGGAGTAGCTAAGCTTTCATTTCAATCAGCCAACATACTCCAGCAAGAAGAGCAGCTCCGATCTATCCTCACCTCTACAGTCTGTGTCGTCTGTGATCGATCAACTTTCCAAATGGCCTGGTGGCATGTTTTACCAGCAGTACGTAGGTGCTGGTGCAGGTAGCAGCTCCCTGAACTGTATGTACTACTAAATTGCATTGCATGGTGGGGTGTGTCATGCCAATAACCTGCTGGATGGTGAGCTATCGTGTCAGCATATCTCGATCGCGAGCGAGCAGAGCATGCATGCATGCTTATGCTCCGGTCCGATGGATCACTCATCACTGTTCAGTCAGTATTTCGAGATGGAGATATATGGAGTCAGTAAAACAAAAGTAAGAAGAAGATACTCCTAGATAATTAAATATGAGACACGTAGCTATTACTGTAGAGGACTTTCCTTCGCACTGCTGCAGTGCTGTGCTGCGGCGCCTACACGTATGACAATTGCCAAGTGAACGTGGTGGATAGGTGCCTGCGTGCTTGCATGCCGTGCGCACACGACTGACCTGACCCATGCATGCATATACGAAGACGATGATCGGTGCGGTGCTTCTATATTATACGGAGTATGCACGTACGTAGAATTGCAGTTGCAGACATACGTATATACTATAGGAGAAGTAGATAGAAAACACTGATGTGCAGACGAGATCGACACCACTGAACAAGTGCATGCAGTAGTGCAGACGAGAGACAGGGAGATGCATACATGTTCGTCCACCGCGCGCACATCCGGCCGATGGAGATGGATCCACTGCACATGCGTGCACGTCGCGCCGCCGTTCAGTCGTCCGGCCGCGCAGTATGGCCGCGCAGTATTTGCAGACGACGACGGATCCATGCATATCCCATCGGGCGGGGAGACACCGTACCAGCAGCAGCAGGGCCGGCCACCTGCATGCAGAAGGGGAGGGAGACTACTGCTCTACCACGCTGCGTCGTGCCATGCATATGATATGCATATCTGTGTTCCGTTACGTTCCGTTCCGTTCCTGGCCTGGCCTGGGGAATCCGCGCGTTCCGTTCATATCGACCCGGAGTATACTCCCATGCATCCATCGGTACGGTGAGCATGCACGCACGCACTAGCTATAGCTACAGTGTAAACCCTAGCTATTCTAGGCCCTGTTCGGCTTGCTGAATCTTAGCTGAAAAACACTGTTCTAGCTGAAATATTGTGAGAGAAAAATACTGTTCCAAAAAAAACGAACAAGCCGGATATGAGTTAGGCCGAATGAGGCCTACTCGTGCACGCACACGTCGCCTCTTCATTAATTCTTCGTATGGCTTCATCGGCCTACCAGCTATTAGGGCCGGGTGTCGTCCTCAAGAGTCAAGACCTCAACGGGAACGAGAAATCTATCGCTAGCTCACATATGAGCTCTGTAAACAATAAATAAATAAAAGAGCATTGGAGTGAAGAGGCATGTGAGCTGTGACCGTGAGAGAGTGGGTTTCTAGAGATATGCGAGACTAGCTAGTCTGCACTCCCACTTGTGTGTTGATCTCTCTTTTTTCATAGCCAATAGAATCTTTTTTAACCTAACGAGGGGACGTACGCTCTTAGAGTAAAGCATCTGCAACAGATTACCTATCTTTCATCCCTTAACAAATGTACATATATAGATGGTACATTATGATTATTATAGTATGTCTCTTTTCTGTTCTCCTCTAATAGACGATCAAAAGCTCATCTCCAATATTTTTATGTCTTGACGGTCTCTCAACGTCCTTTATTAAAAAATACCTCCCCCTTTGCTCATTACCGGCCCACCTCTTCCCCATTCCCATCGACCACCACCGCCTATAGTTTTCCAAACATGCCGGCACGGCACTACACGGCACTAGCCCGCCCTAGCACGGCACGTCTGGGCACATCACGCTAGGCACGGCTGATGAACCGTGCTGTGCCGTGTCGTGTCACCGTGCCCGACTCCAGGCCCAGGCACGGCACTATTATTCCTGGAGCGTGCCGTGTCGTGCCGTGCCGACTCTAGGCCCAGCGTGCCCGTGCCGGCCCAGGCACTAAACTGGCAAAACCCCTCAATGAACTCAGCACAGCAATTCAAAGAGATCTAAAATGACTAAGTTCATAAAAGATCAAAAACAGATCAGAACACAGCACAGCAAAGAATACAAACTTTTAAAACTAAAACTAATTTAAGTAGGAGCTGTGCAATGGCTGCCTCATTAAAAACCTGTTTAGGTAAAACTCACCCTTGTGAGAAACCCTAAACAAGAAAAAAGTACAGCCAGCTCCTAGATTAATTGTTTATTATATCCATCACCACAAGTCCAAGTCTCAGTTATTACAGAACCATTACATAAATGGGAAGTGAACTATTTGACATCAAGATAAAGACCAGCAAAGGCCTCTTCTAGCTCCTTGTCCTCCACCATGTGCTGCAGTCTTGTCTCAGTATTCTCCCAATCCTTGATGCAGGTAAGCGCCTCTACAGTTTTAGGGTTCAGCCTCCGCCGCCGCTCCTCGATGATCCTGCCAGTTAAGCTAAAAGTAGACTCTGAAGAAATGGTTGACACAGGCACTGTCAAAATGTCTTTAGCAAGAACAGAAAGTACTAAATAAGTAAGCTTGTGCTCATGCCACCACTGCATGATGTCAAACTGATCATCCAACTGGCTTACTGTGTCACAGTTGTCGATGTTTTACCATCGATAGCCTGTCACGGGGTTATCCGGGACAGTATGTTCGGGCTTCAGCGTATGCAGGACTCGACGGTGAACGCAAGAGACAGTCGATTTATCCTGGTTCGGGCCCTCGATCGTTGATCGAGTAATAGCCCTACGTCCAGTCGGCGTTAGCCCTTGCGTTGTATTGATTGTGTCGTAGAAGTTGTGATCTCCCTCTCTAGGAACCCTGCCCTCCTTTATATAGTCAGGAGGTCAGAATCCTAGTCGATTTACAATGAGAGTTCTTAGTAGGATTACAAGATAATACTACTACTAAGATTACATGGGGAGAATCCTAGTTAGACTAGATCTTCTCTCCTCCTTGCGGGGTATCCTGTGGGTCCCGCACCGACAAGCCCCCGAGCACTTCATGGTTGAGCTATGGAAGCCTCATCTTGTTCTTTCAGGCTTTGCCGAGCAGGAATAAGCGTCGTCCGAGTGCTTTTTTGAGCGAAACCGTGTAGCGCTCTGTGAGATCTTCGCGTGGAGTGTATCTTTTTTGAAGAAAAAAGTATTCCCCTTTGGGTGTAGCCCCCGAGCCTCTTGCTATTTAGAACAAGGAGCTGGAGGGTCTTGTCTTGAAATCGCTCTGATCCTTCGTTGAAATGTTCCCGAGCATGTGCCCGGGTTCTTTATCAAAAAGAACTCGGATATAGCTCGGTCCAGCTTCTTTTTGTCACGATTCCTTGAAGTAGTTTTGTCTTGAAAAAGTTTTTTTGGTGACGTGCGCTTTTTCGAAGAAAAAAGGGCACTCACTGAGTGTAGCCCCCGAGCCTCTTGCTATTTGGAACAAGGAGCCGGAGGGTCTTGAATCTTATGTTGTTTTAAAATTGCTGACTTGAAGAAGTTTTTCGAGTGATGTGCGCTTTTTTGAAGAAAAAGTGCACTCACTGAGTGTAGCCCCCGAGCCTCTTGCTGTTTGGAACAAGGAGCTGGAGGGTCTTGAGTCTGATTTGTTCGAGGAACTGAAATCTTCTCCTGTTGTAGCCTCTAAGCATTTATCTGGGTTCTTTGATTCTAAAAGAACTCGGACGCATTGTTCTTGGCGAATTCTCTGGTAGTCTGCTGTTTGTCAGGTGTAGTTGTTTGGTGGTGGTTGAGTGTAAATGTTGCCTGTTCATGGGTTGTACAGTGTTGGCATATTCTTCCGAATATGCTCATCTTAATCTTATTACTTCTCGCCCTTTGAGTCTTCCATTATTGAGTCCTGTCTTTTCACTATGTCCTTTGTAAGGCTTGTTTCGTTGGTACTCCTAGACTATGTGCGCCGCTCCTTCGATCTATAAATACCCTCCGGGGTGCTTGTTTTCATCCATTGAATATTTTGTTGAAACCTTCGTAGTCATGAATATGATAGTTTTGTGAAGCCTTGGGAGAGTAGTTCTGTGCGTCTTGTTGGGAGGTATCTTGTAGTTCATGTAGACGTCTTGTTGTAGGTGGTAGTTGGA